AACCAAAAGACATTCATGTGTTGTATTACGAAGTCATGCACAGGATGTAACCGTGCTCAGGCCGGGTTAGTCCCTTAACCACGGCAGGGGACAACTTTGCTAGTGTAGTCATGCAGGGGGTAGAGGGAGGTGACGAGTATTGAAAAGGCACAGTGAAAGTATGAGTAATAAGTTCTTCATAGTCCAGATTTGAGGAAGCTACGGAGTCCCTTAAATCCAATAAAGTAAAAAAGTATAACTTGCTTATTCACAAACATGGTGCATGCCAGCATTGTTTGGTTCAGTGTAAAAAAGCAAAGCCAGCATACATGATGTTATTGAAGCTAAGAAAAGAAATGTAAACTGGGGGCCTATAATACTGGGATTGGAAAGGTAGGAGCAGGTGATTGAAGAATGAATTATTCCCTAACAGGATAAGAAATTGCAGTACCTGTTAGAAGTTTTATGAAATGAGATTCAAACTGTTCTGCTGAAGAAATCCAAAAATAAGCTCATCTCAGTACGTTTCCATAACGTCTCTTAGTGCATGAAGAAAGGAAAGGTTTCCTGTTGTTTTAAAGCGTGCGACTACTTCACACAATAACGGAGACACTCTTTAGAACCTATTTTCATCAAAATTCATTTCCAATCAGTGATGAAACAACCTATTTACGAGAGAAAACACACCAACTCAACAAACAGCTTGTGTGAATTGTAAACAGATTTTTCTCTTAAGTGTGTATTCCATGCAATATCACAATGGGAAATTGCCAGTGCAATCATACACAAACAACTCATCGAGAAAAGCCTTGCCCTGAGCAAAAAACACAGCAGTTGGTCTCCAATATGTGAATGACAAATGAATATCACTCAGTGGGTCAGATGGTGTAGACACACTCCATGCTCTGTGCTAATCAGGCCAACCTACAGACCTCACATACCATCAGGACATCCTCCAGGGGGAAATTAGTACTTTTCACTTTGCTAAACGAGTATACTTTCCTCCCACAGTGAGCGCATTGTTTGTTACATGGCCAATTTCTTTATGTAAATTGTCCTACAATGGGTTACATTCCAATTATGAGTAAAAACATTCACTTTTATACTTACTCTGAATAGCAAATAAGAGTTACATTCATGCACATTTTCTCAGGGGCAAACTACACCTAAGGCAGAAATAAACTCAATATAGGAAGTCATTTATGTATCAGGTAAAGGTACAACCGAGTGGCAATAAAGCTAACTGGAAAACTTGAGGCAAAGAAAGACCTCTGTTAGGTCTGAAACTTTTTTATTATATTATTTTAGCTGCTAATAAAATTTGATATCCACACCTGTGTACGTGAAGGGTCACCAAAGCTAACTGGCTGAACTGTATGTTAGCTGAATGTATTTCTAAGTAAATGGTATTTGATATCTTATACAAGTAACTTTTGTTGTAATAGTCAAATGTTGGCAACAATGGAAAGCAAATTTGAACCAGTGCACAACAATTCATGCACATCATCAGACAATTCTCTGCACATTTTGTCATTGTTTCTGTATTTCATTGTGTGAACTTTTGCACTCTCCCTTGGCAACAGCTTGCACAAACCTATATAAAAACAGATCTTTTGGACACAATGGTGATGGGGCTCAAATCTGACTTCCGCTCCGTGCTGCACATCATCCCCCTCTCTCTCTCTCTCTCTCTCCCCCCAACAGTTTACTGTCTCTCTTCAGCTGTCCCATCTAGTCGGAGCATAAGGCCCAAAAAATGTGAAAAAAAAGAAAAGCTGTTGATTTGCTGTTGTTGACTGTTCTTCCTTTTTTGAGTCTGCTTGTATGTTAATTGCTTTGCACCAAAAACACAGTTCAGCTGGATTTAATTCTATACAGGGACAACGGTTGGCCATTTGTTGAATTGATTAGTTAAGTTGTTAAATATTTAAATAAAAAACATTCTCAACAGCATTAAAGCACAAACTGCCTGCAGACAAAATGACAGTACCAGGGAGAGGAGTAATTTTATCAAACTATTTGGATTATACTTTCTACTTTACTTTATTTTGTACAAATACTACGATAAGCTGCTTATTGTATAATAAAAATGCAAACATTTATTTGTGATTCCCTTTTGTGGCTGCAGTTGAGAGGAGACACCAACTGGCTGCACTTCTTACAAACACAACATCATAAGTACTTACTATTGAGGAGACACCTCTCCCTCTCTCTCTCTCTCTCTCTCTTTCTCGCCCTCTCTGGGTTTCTCTGAAGATGGCAGCTGTGATCGTCTGAAGTTAGTTTCGGCAGATCCAACAGGTAAGGGAGCAGAGATTATTTAATCTACTGCTAGTGCTGACTTCCTCAAAAACAGATATTTTTTATTTTCTTTCAGATTTTTAGTCAGATTTTCAGTCCTGAAAATAAATCAAGAATCTGTGGCAAATATCATTTTATTTTATAAGCTGCAGGATGATATTATATTTACTTAATGTCTTTTATCTCCTGGTCAGGCAGAGGTGCTGCTTGTCAACAGGCAAGGCAGGCAGGCCCAGGCCAGTAGGGGGCCCCAAAGCAGTGGCCGAAAATGTGCAAATTTTGCAATGACGGTAGGAGACCTCCCCAAGGGGGCCCCATCTGACAGCACGCACTCTCATTGCCCTGCTAAACACTGGTTGGAGGGCGCGGGTTGGACAGTCCCCCAATTGTTTTTTGCCTAGGGCCCCAAGAGACTCTAGAATCGCCACTGCAGTCAGGTATTGGAGACAGTTCGCCTGAAATTAAACAACAAATTCCAGCTTTGCAGGAAGCACTTTTATCTCAACACCGCCTGCATCAGAGGATTCTTTTCATTTCCATTTTTTTTGTTCAACCCGGGATTTTGTTTTTGTCAGTTCAGCCAGTGTGACCATGGATAATCAGACTTGCTTTTCTTCTTCTGTTTATTCAACAAAAAAGAGACAAAGGGCAAAAATGCATCCCCTTCTCTGCAGCAGAGGTTTTTCTTTTTGTCTTTAAAAGAAAAGTTAGGGTCTCAGAGAAGAGGAAGGTTTTCTTGGTCTATCGTTGGAATCTTTATAAATTATTTGCAAGAAAATGATTCTTTTTACTTACAGAGCAAAAGAAGTGGTCTTAAGAGGTGAACATCCCCTCTGTGTTTGGTCTTTGAAAGGAGGAGGAGGGGGAAATGTAAAGAGTAGTGAGGTGGCAAAACAAACAGCTCGTCAGCAGAGGTCCGCTTATCAGCCGGCTACATGTCTGTGTATCACCCACTCGCTGAGTATTGAGCCGGGGAAATGTGGCTCAGCGATCAACCAGCCCGCTCCATTGATTAACAGCGTTTTCTCATTCCTGGCCAAGAAATTGGCTTCCCCCAACATGTGTTGTTTGTTTGAGGAGAGGCGAGGACCGGCGCCATGTGTTTGTGTGCTTATGCTACGTTCGCTGTGAGGAGAGGGTGCACTTCCAGCTGAGCCACTCTGCATTTAAAGCTAGCAGCCAAATGCCTCTCATATGGAGAGGGGCTCTAAAAAAACCCTCTCAGTTTGAACGCAAGTATCTCAATGTTTGCCTGCTGGGCCTGATCTTCCTATTGGCTCAATATTTTGGCCCCTGTTGTACCCTAAAGTAAACCATTTTGTACACTCCTCCCTCCCCCCCCCTCCGATAACACACATGCACATACAGTACACGTATTTTGGATCCCAGCGGGTGTGTGGGCTATTCAAACGTCCTGACTCAGAGATTTAAAATGTCATTTAAACCCATTCAGTGCTGTTTAGGCTTGTTTTATTTCGCAGGCGTTAGACTACAAGGTCAGTTTGCACCAACAGCTGATGAGCGATCAATAGGAGATTTGAATTTAAAGAGCCGTGGCCCCCGGGGGCGGTCAGTCGCCAGTGCACGGTGTTACCACAGGGGGGGCTAAGCCCAGCGGCTCAACAGAGACCTATATCCTTCCACAGACCCTCCACCCCCACCTTCCACCCCACCTCCCCAAGCTTGGTTAACTCTCAACACCATGATTAATTCATGGTGGATTACAGTCTGGAGGCAGGGGGAGAGACTGGGATTGCGTACGACCCTAACTGCACATGCCGGGCATGGGAGATAAAGGTTCCCCCGGATTCACACCACAATCCCACCGCCCGACTCCTTCCCCTACAAGTATGAATAATTCTCCTGCAAAAAGATCATGCCTCCCTGTTTGGGCTTTCTTGATTATGATTACAACTCCGTTGGCTGAAATAAGTTAGAAGAAGTCCCTCCCAGCCTTCAGACCGCACGGCGAGAACAGTAAGCTGCAGGGAATAATAATAATGTCGGAGCGGGCTAATAAAAGCATAACAAGCAGGAGAGCCGCGGTCACGCCAATTTCATCATTGTCCTTCACAGTTGCACAGCTAACTGCTTATGATTAGTCGACGACCTCGAGTAACAGTACAGCAGATTGTGAGGCCAGAGCAGAGAGTTAGATTTTCTGGGGAAGGAAGTAGCATAAGTGAAAATGCACTCCCTCTTGTGACGACTGCAGCAAGCTGGTCCACATAAAACCAGGAGAAAAGTTGAAAATGATTTAAACCCTAATTCCATTTGACTGTGAATTCTTCTAGTTCAGCGTTACATCGTGCAGGAAAAACAGGAAACACTTTTTGGACAGTCTTAGATTTTGCACCGCAAAAATCATGATGTCACTTCACGTTTCTTCAACTCTGCATGGAGCTTAAAATGTTTCTTTTTTCAAGGCTAGAGTTTCAATTGCAGCCACTGTTTCTGAATCAAATTAATCAGAATTAACAAATGTTTACCAGTCACCTTGTCTGCAAAGGCCAATTACTCCACACTCCACATGAAAGGAGAATTAACCGTGTAGGCAAAAAGCGTTCATTATGATATGAGTGACAGCGGCCTGATAAACGCTTCATAAAGGGCCCTGTGATGTAGCAGCACAGTGTGATATATATACATGTCACACTGTAATGTATCAGTATACTGTAAAATAATTTGATCCCAAAGAAAATATGTTATAAATTCATAAGTATATTTTCTAGTTTTATTAGAAACACATTTTTGTCAACATGTTGGATTTATACAGTGAATGGTCTAATATGCACTGGAGGTCACATAAGCTTCGGTTTATTGGAACAATAAAAGACATACCATGAGGGCTTGATATTCAAAGAGATGTAGCAGCTACTCGCCGCATATTTGACCATCAATTTTTAATAGTTGGGATTTTTCTCCTTTGAAGACACAAAAATAAAACCTGTCTAAGTATGTCATATTAACAATTTTATGAATGTATTTTCAGCAGACTAAAAAATTAAGAAGTCAATTACTCCTTTGAACACGTACATTTTGTCTCAACACGTTCTGCAGATGATGGTGCAAAGCACAGGATTTGTGCTATACTTTTTTTTTTTAGTTTGGCAAATGTCTACTTTACTTATGTTTTTATTCTTTTTTTTCAGCTTTTTTTGTAAACAACATCTTGTACAAACTAGCACAGTGAACCACAAACCCAGCAAATGTGTTTTTTTTTTTTATCTCCATACAATATAAATGAAATCAATACAAAAGTTTGGTTGGTTGCTTGGAACATTTTTATATGGATCGAGAGGTTCTAAAACATGGTTTTCGAGACTTCTGGACTCCTGAATTAAATAGATCACGTAAACAGTTGACTGTTCTAAGTCCCATTTAGAACCCCGGTAGAAGATTTTTAGAAGGTAGACTTCATTTCAACATTTCAAGTTCATTTCCATTTTTAAATAAAGGGTTTGCAATCCGTAGAGGGTTTTTACTGTTTGCCTTTTGAAGGCGGCCTTCTTCAGATTTGGTGGACATTCTGAAACCAAGACAAGAAAAAAAATAATAGGAAAAGTCCAGTAGGAAGGAGGAAACATTGTCATTTCCTCTGGCCTTCAGAAATATAGTGTCAAAAAGGTTAAGTGTCAATATGGCAGAGCCTCAAGAGGCAAAGAGGTCTGAGGAGCTTCTGAATAAATAGGGACGAGTTGAGCGCCTCAAACGCAGTTTGAACTCCGCTCAGCTTTCCTACAGTGCCGGGTCAGCACACCGCCGATCCTCGGCCCCCTTCTTCTTTCTGTAAAGCTTTCCAAGTCTTTGACAGTAGCTAAGGATGTTTTCATGTTCAGGACGTACTACAGGAGATCTCAGAATGGTAGTTTACACCCCACCAGTGAGTGTTGGGGGTTTGGTCGCTGTGCTGGGCCACCGACAGGAGTCAGGAGGGGTGACAGGGTGCCCCAGGGGCCCAAAGAAGGGGGGTGAAACGGTGCCACTTCAGCAGTCTTGCCCAGTTATTTATTTTATTTAAAGTCCAGGGTGGGTGGGGGCAAAAAGAAGCGATTCAAACACCCAAACACAATACCAAGGACAATGTTTAAAACATATTTTTTTTATCCCTTTTCCCACAGAAAAGATCAACAAATCAAATAATAAATAAATAAATATGTAAACACCCCAAAAAATACTGATGCCTGTCGATTTCCATGCCCCTGTTTTTCGACCCCAAGCCCCCCAACACCTCCAAACCTCACACTCCGTTACTGAATCTCTCTCCAGCAGAGTCCGCTCTCTCTGAAAGCTACCACACGGTGCCCTCGTTCATTTCCGAGGGTGGGTGGGACAGGTGGTTGTTGTATCCGCTGCCGTTCAGAGACAGTGAGGTAAAAGGTGGACTGGGGCCAAACACCTCAGAGGAGATACCGTGGAGGGGCCCCGGGATGCCGGGCTCTGGGCTGGGAGAGTCCCCCGGGTGGTGGGACATGATATCGGAGAAGCGCTGCACCTCGCTGGAGGGGTGGTGGCCCGGCAGGGGGTGGTCCATACCTCCGAGTGGGGTGCCTGTGGGGCCTGAGGAGGGCACGAAGGGGAGATCGACCGGGGTCTGGGCCTGCGACGACGGAGGCCCCTGAGGGAAGAAGTCGTAGTTTCCTCCCGGACCATAGTACTCACTTTGATAATCTGCAGATCCAAGAAAAAAAAATTAAGTGAGAACAATGGGGGTGCAGGAATAATTCTGGAGACGTTGAGGAATTCATTGAATATACATAGCTTGATTTGTATGAGAGGGGGGAGAGACCCTCGCCTTACTACATTAGTCACAGAGCACGTTACACTTAAATCAAAACTGCAATTGGGTGGGGAGAACAACGTGGCCACAAAATTAATTAAAATGGGACCATTTCATCAGCGATTCTACCTACTGAGACTGAGTTCTTTTTTTTCTTTTTTTTTTAACTCAGCAGAATATTATTCAAAGAGTTTTTGCTTCAGCAGGGAGGACAAAAGGCCCGAGCACGATTGAAAGTCTCTGAAAACGATCAGACATTTAAAAGGAAGAGTTCTATATCAAATCACTGATGTGTAAAGTAACTTCACTTAAACCCAACTCACTGCTTTCCAAAACTCTACAGACTGTGGTAAACCGAACTCAATATGAGACTTTAAAATTTATTTAAAAAAATAAAATAAAGAACTTTATCCTCAATGTCCGAACTTGCAATATGCTGAGCAGAGAGAAGATAATCTTTGTGGATTCGTTTTTTTTTTTTCAGATAATTTTAATGTTTATTTGGCGTCCTAAACTAGCATGCACGATTTTTTTCTTGCTGTAAAAAGTTTATAAAGGAGGAGTGCAAGATTGCTTTTAATGAAATATTTTTCCATTTCTACAAAAACCTATAAAAAGCCCCATGCAACGTTAAACTGACTCGATTAAGCAGACTGTATAGGCCTTTAGATAAAATATAAGAGAACAATGAAGGGCATGTATTTATTTCCCAATGAAAGGTACAGAGTTAATACACATATGATAGTCTAAATAAAATGTCTAGCATAAAATAAATGTTGTTAAATGGCAAAATAATAAAAACAGATATTTAATGTTAAAAAAACACTGGATAAAAGAACAAAATAGGCCAAACTGTTCGCATACCTCCGTAGTAAGAGAAGGGCCCGTTGGGGATCAGCTCCCCGGGCTCCAGCCGGTCCACCAGCGTCCTCATCCGCCTTGGGCTCCGGAAAAACGCGTGTCTCCGTGCGCCTAGCGCGCTCAGCTGCTTCATGCGCCTCTCTTTGGAACGTCGGTTCTGAAACCAAACCTGAAAACAAACACACACACACACACACACACACACATATATATTTATATACGGGTCACCTCATGTCAGTCTGCAAACATGCTGCTGACGCCATTTTGATCGCACGTCAATATTCAGTGAAGGGAGACGGGAGGAGAGGGAGAAATGGAGGTGATGGAGCAGAGAAAGAATTGCTGACAAACGAACATAAAAAGGCACGCTTTGGATTATTTTCGGAATATTCAACTAAACCTCACTGTGTAAATTATCCCTCGCACAAAAGCTCATGTAATTAGGTGTGATATTTACCTTGGCACCTGGAAACATTGGCTTCTTATTAGAGTAAATAACCGACCTCTCTGTGTGTGTTTTGCTGCGTGCGTGATGAGCCGGTGCGTTAAATCCGCAAGGCTGTGCGCCGGTGGAGAGGACTGCGGCCAATTATCGTTACAGGAGCGAGAGTCCCATCTAACCTCCCTAATGATCTTTTAACCCTCCATTTACTCCGGCTGAAGGCTGCAGCAGCGGGGGCTTAAAATCTCCAATTAATACTTAATAGGAGGGTTGTTACCGATATATTACCGGGCTCTTGGAGGTTATCATTTCCTAATCTATAGGCCGGCTTCCTTTAATTACGCTCTTCCCTTTTCCCTCGCGCTCATACATATTAGATACCCCTGCTCCAACACTTTCACTTTATCGCCATTAATCTGCAATGCTAAACCCTTTTTTACCTTTTGATCTGCCCCGCAGCCTCATCCACTTTATGATGAAAATAATCCCATTTATGGAAACCTGTTAGTGAAATAATAAATGCAGAAAAGCGCTTCTTTCTAGTGATTTCTAAGACTATTTTTTGTGGACTTGGAGTCTGTTTGATTTCAAAATTATACTATATGTTAGTTTAATTCGTCATATTTACAATAATTCCACAATATAATTCGGTATATAAAATAATAATAATAATAATAATAATAATAATAATAATAATAATAATAATAATCTGTTTGTGTAACTGGAGGCGGCCCTGCTGTACTTCAGGTCTGAGCTGACAGTCTGAAGACCCCTGAAACAGCTTTGGGTCTTTCCACTTGGCTAAAAAAGCGCTCAGCATGGCTAAATGTGGTCGCAAAACGTGATGGCAGCGCTGTGCCAGGACTCCCAGTGCTCCCAGCAGCCCGGCGCCAGTTGGCGAATTTGCCCCGTCGCCAGCGCCAAGAATCAAAAATACCCATATAAATTACCCGTTTCCAAATCAACCTCGTGCGTCGGCCAATCTTTGGCTTAATGAATTCAATGTGAGCACGCGGATTTGAAGGGAAGGGGCCTTCTTTAAAGAGGGGGTGAAGGATGTGAGAGGGGGGAGGTGAGGTGGGAGGTGGAGCCTCTCTGATGGGATGAGCAGGGCCTACACGGTCATGGCAGCCTGGCAGGGACATTTTTCCATAAAATAGAAGCTGTTACATCACACCTTTTAATGGCTGCGTAACACCCTATAAAACAGAAAAGGCGCGAGCCCACCTCCTACACCTTTGGGTTGCCCCTGACTATTGTTTCCATAATATTTCAGAACAGATCTGACAGGACAAGAAGACCCCCATTTTGACTGAACCGAAATCAGAGACATATCATTATAATTTAGTTGATTCTCTGATAAACTAGCTGTGTCTCTATCTGACGTTTAATGGATGAATTTATGGTCAAAGTAAGAATGATAGTCCACATGGAGCTCTCAAACCCGCAGCGTGGACATTGTGATGTTGCCTTACCTGGATGACCCTCATGTTGAGGCCGGTCTCCTGGGCCAGCTGCTCCCTGATGTGTCTGGTGGGTTTGGGGGTCGCAGCGAACGCCGCCTTCAGCGTCTCGAGCTGCTTGGCCTTGATGGTGGTCCGCGGGCCGCGCCGCTTCCCCCCGAGGTTCTGGTCGTCGTTCTCGTTATTCACCGTCTCTTTGTCGGACAGGGCGGCGATCTCCGTGTCCTTCAGAACCACGTCGTCCTGGAGCTGGTCTTGAGAGTCCGGCGATAAGCTGGGGTCACTGCATGCCGTAACTGCAGGAATCACATGTGGAGATTAATCAGAGGGGTTCTGAAAAACAGTTCTGACATACTGCAGCGGAAACAGATACAATAGACCAAAACAGGCAATCATATCAGCAGTGATGCTCTAGTCAAGGAGTCAGTGATGCAAACCCTCAACATTAAACAATTTCATCATGAAATATTCATCTAATTTTTGGTTCTTAAAACGATGCTTTTAAGTATTTTTTATCATAAATATCAATATCAAATAATAATAAAGACATGTAATTTTTATTAATAAAATGCATCTGATGCTTTGACCTCTAATGAGATGTGATTTTCTTCATTTTTATAAACGTACTTTAATCAAACATGCCAGATTGTTGAACAAAATATTCAGCATAATTCAATCACATCCCCAGAAAAGATCATTTTGAAGTGATTCATAAACTAAGAGTAAATAGAAAATAAGCATAAGAGGCTTGAGGTGGAAATATCACAGTCTACATGTTTTTTGTTTTTTTGTCTCTGAAAGCAGTCTAAGTCCTGGTCATGGAAATGATGAAGCCTCTGCGGGGCTGCACACACCACATCCATCACAATTTATCCGCCTTGCAGTCACAAACACACATACACATACACACACACACACACACACACATACACACACACACACACACACACACACACACACACACACACACACACACACGCACGCACACACGCACACACACACACACACACACACAGCCAGCGTACCTGAGAGGAGGTTGCTGTCTTTCACACTGGCGTTGTTTAGGTAATCGTCTTTGCAAACGAACTTGTTCTCGTCTATGATGTAGAGCTCCTCTCCGGTGGAGAGCTGCTTATTGCACATCATGCACGTGAAGCAGTTGAGGTGAAACACTTTGCTCCGGGCCCTCCGGACCAGGTCGTTCGGTGAGATGCCCTGCGAACAACCGCCACATTTAGTGCCGAACCGCCTGCAGGAGGAGAAGAAGAATAAAGGGTTATTAGAGAGATGGCTATGTGTCACAAATGTCAACATTTCTTAATTATTATTATAATCAGGGTTGGTGTTAACGCTTATTGTGCAGAATGCAGACAGAGGTCGCTTAAAAAGCTGATTACTCTGTTTTACATGAAATCACATTTTACAACGACAAATACACATTTCTAGTAAACATGACGAATCTTTTTTGAACCATTTTTTGTCTCTTTATAATAGGGAATAAGATCAAGTTCAAGCATAACTCTTTTAAAATTAAGTACAAACCTCAATTATAACGTAAAAAGCGAGACAATAACCAATGGATTAAAGATACTAATATTTAAAACAGAAAGACAACTCCTTCTATGTAAGAGGTAGAGAAGTATTTTAGCTTCTTTTTTTTTGTATTTAAATATAATATTAAAATATTTATATTCTTCAGAATAAACCCTCACTTTTAATCCAAACTAACATTTTGGGTAAAATAATAATAATAGTTCGTTTTTTTTGCAACTAAAATCTGTTTAACATTTTAGAAAAAAAAACGATGGTGTGACAATAGGATACTTCTCAAATTTAAAATTTTTACTAATGATAAACATTCTTTCTAATCTGAAAAAGGTTATTTTAAAATAAGACAATTATTTTCTACCGTAAGAAGCAACTGCACAACTTTAAAAAGAAACATCGCCGAAGTGAAGATATTTTATTTTACCATCATATTTATGTGCTGTATTTCTGAGTTTTTTTGTGTCCACTATTAAACGTTAACATGAAGTGGGATCTAGTTTACAAATCCAGTAAATATCCAGGTCCCATTAACGCTCTCACACAGCAGTCTGCTTTGGAATAATAAATTACAGCTCTGCCATTGACTTCTCGTTAAACCATGTGTATTGAGTGGTGTGCACTGCTTGTTGACTGCACGTCTGTGATTGCATTGTCTGCGGACTTGATCTTTTCAACTAGTTTACTATTCAAATCCACTTATCACGTCCTCCTCAGCCGGACTGAGCAAACACACCGGGCCAGCGGCTCCTCTGGCCGGGGTTTGATCCTGAGCGCTCCCCGGCTGCTGCACGCCGTAAAAATAAAATAAAACAAACACCCCAAGTGTGATTTCCTCGATTTCCTAACAACTCCCCCTTTCCTCTCCTCTCCCCCCGCTGTGAGCGAGTGCACACGCGTTTAATGTTGCTGCCCCTCTTTTGTTGTTGTTTTGCATAAGAATCCAAATTAACAAGCTTTTAATTACTCGCTCCTAATCAAAGCTTATCGCCTTTGAGTGCTCATTCACGCCTGCAGGCACGGACAGGTCGATTTATCCACTTATTAAGAGGAAAGATAAATAAAACGGAGAATATGCGTTCATTTTAAATACTTACAATGTGTGTGCAGTCAACAGATGTGCTTATTTCTTTTGGAACTAATTTCAAATATTTGTTGTTTTACCTCTATAAAAATGTGTGTTAAAGACATGAGAATGGGTGTGATCTTTTTGGAATTACTTTGACCTTTGTCAAGATAACAAGATAAAAAAAAAACATATATAACATAAGATTTGATATTAACTAAATTTGCCTGCAATTAAATCAAAAATATAGTTTTTGAGATGTCATTTAAAGTTTCCACCTTTTTCCTTACGCACATTTTTTAAAATCTGTTTGTGTCACATTTTAATTTATTTGGGATTATTTCGTTATTTCTCAAAGGCATCTGTGCCTATTTGGCTGCTGTTTCCTTAGTCCAGCTCCTGATATTACATCTGACACATTCACAAACAAAAACAGGTCTGGAGTTTTTCTGTCACTTTCCTCGAGCTTACCTAAAGAAATCATTTTTGCAGTAAAGTCTCCCTTCTCGAGAAAAACATTTCTCTGTCAGATTACACTTGCACTCGCAGCACTGCACGCACTTGACGTGCCAGGCTCTGTCCAGCACGTTTAGCAGAAAACGGTCCAGGATAGGCCTCTCGCAGCCGGCACAGTGGACCATGGCTTTGGCTGGGCAACAAACCCCACAAATGAAGAGCGCTCACACACACAAACAAAATCAACAGCACAGTCCGAGCATTGACCGTGTATCTGCTTTCTCCTCTCCCTGATTCGCCTGGAGCTCCCGGGTCAATGTGCGCGGAGAAGCCAGTCGATCAGGTGTCACCACAGATTTCTCCCTGCATGCGTAAAAAGAATCAGCGTCCACAAAAGGAAGAGGCAGGGAGGGATACGGCCGCGTCCTTTCACTCAAGTTGAGAAGCCAAGGGAGGAAAATAACCAGTCCTTTATTCGATCCGAGGCTAAACCAAAATGTAGAATTTAGCAAAAGAAGCTGCAGATTAGCTCAGGCGAGGAGACCGGAGCCAGCTTGGTTGTCCCGGCGCATCGGCTGAGAGAAGCGTCGTGTGTGCCAGTCAGGGCTGGAAGAGGCGTCTAATAAAAAGCTTTCAGGGCAGAGCTGTCACACAACAAGACACGCACGCCTATAAATAATTCAGTGTACTTTGACATGGCAGCGTATCCAATGCTTAAAAGCCAGCAAGAAACAAAATAACACACCCAAAAAGATAAAACAAAAAAGTGTTTCCCCTCGCGCTCAGTCCGGTGATCCTGGATGTTAAGCTCGTGCTGGCGGGGGTATGCTGGGATGCGCTGGCGGGTCCTGTAGTAGTCAGTGTGAATGCTGGGATGCCCTCAGTCTCCAGTACGTTGTGTTTGCTGGGATGAGCTGGGTCTCCAGTAACACTGTCTTGCTCCTAAAGCTCCAGCCCAGCCTTATTCCCAGCCTCCTGACGTCAGGCCGCGGCCGGACCAATCAGCGCCGCGCCATGCCAGCAACCATCAAGCCGCCCCATCATAACCCAGCGAGGGCTCTGCCTGCTATTTATGCCACACACTCAAGACACCAATTGTCAAGAATTTCCCTGCAAACTGTCATATGTTAGTGAATCTGTTTGGAGGAAGCAGCGGCAGCGGAGGGCGAGCAGCGCGGAGGGAGAGACGCCACTTCTCAGCTGCTGAGCAAATTGTCTGCTGGGCATGAGGGGGGCATGAAGGAGGAATCTGAGCAGGTAGATACAGCGGCGTCTTCAGGAAAAAAAGGGGCTGCAGGCGCATAGTGCATGCCATGCTCCCTGTTTATTCATGTAGTTACTCTGCGCCAGAAAATTACGCACAACTTTGGCATGTTTGTTTTAGTAATTTGAGAGTAACCTGAGGCTTTTATCATCAATAAAGCATCTCGAATATTTAATCTTCTACCTGCTTTGCACTTGAATGCATCGTCTCTTGAGCTTAAATGTTTGATTACACAGCCGGAAGGTGCAGAACTTCTCTGTCAAGACCTGATTCAGGGTTCTGAGGATAGAGTCACAGCCATGTTCTCATTTACTTTTATCGTGTTTCTTTGCGCATTAGCAGCGGCGCACTTTAGCAGCCAGTTCTCTCTTTGGCGTGATGGAGAGGAAGCGTCGAAGTGAAAGACTGAGAGGCTCTAAAGTTGACAGCTCGTGCAGCTCAGCCCGTCAGGAGCTCGCGGCCCAGACACCTCGGACAATTCATTAGGGAGATCCAATCCACTTCAAGTCCACCTTGGGTAAATAACACCATGAGCATCACAGCCCGCTGGATTATCAGTCATTTCCCATCACAGAGATCGGTCAAGTCTTTCGTGTTGGTGACACTAACACATCTGAGATGGCTTTCTTTTTTGTCTAGTTAGGAGGGAGGGTAAAGTTGGAAATATCCAAGGTTGCCAACTATAGTTTAAAAGTAGTTCTTATAAGAGTGATGTTCAATTTTGGCTGGTTTAGAGATCGTTTAAATAATGTAAATTCAGTACGTAATTTGCAGATTTATAAGCAGTTATGAGTTTGTTTGTTCGTCATAAGTAGCAGCTCACTTTTCGCAGAAAAAGCGACCCAGGGACACCCATTTATTCTCTACCAATAGGCCGGCAGCATCCTCATGCATATGGGCTGCTTCTCATGCAAAACACCGCCAGTCCCCGTCCAGCTGCCTCCCAGCGTCTGGGGAGCTCCTCTTCAACGGGGCATGTGTAACTGGCTGAAGAAAAAGAGATAAGGTTATAAAAAAAAATAAAAAAAAGAGGCACACTCTTTTTTTTTTTTGCTTCAGCCCCTCTTCATCCCAGTATTCCCCTCTTTCTTTGCTCCACTCTTCTTCTCTTTTCTCCCTTCTTTATCGGTTTTCCCAGTCTGTTTGTGGACGGCGCCTCAGAGCGCATTCTGCCAAGCATCTGGTTACGTTTCCATCAGAGAGACAGGCAGAGAGGGGTCATTGAGCTCCATGACAACTGGGCGGTCCATAATTGTGCATAGAAGTGCAATCAGCAGTGGGAATATGGCGTTTCTGGTGGACAGAAACAAAGCTAAACATCATTCTTTCCGCACTACAAACCTGCAGAAGAATTAAAACAAATACCTCAGAAACCCTGCATGGTGTAGGTCTTACATTCTCAGCCTCCACACAAACTTGTAAATGCAGCATGTAAACAAGAAAAGTTGTTGTTGTTTGCATGTGTAGAAGATGCCTTGATAGTCTGTCAGTGGGGATAATCTCCGCCTGATTTAGAATAAACCAGAGAGAGAAAAAGCAAGCTCACAGAGGCAGATTAATCCACGAATAGAAGGAAATCAAAATATGGGCTATAGGCTTAAAAATATCTCAGCTCCCCTCCAGGCAAAGACACTATTAAATGCAAAAATGGTTTTAACCTTACCACTGTAATCCCTCACTAGCAATAGATTTTATTCTCACTCTCTTTTTTTTATTCTGATGCTGGCACAAGTTGTGAATTGGAATTTGTGGGGCTGCATATGTGCCTAAGTTGAATACACTTAATGTGTTATTTTTTATTTTAGTGATGCTTATATGTGAGAATAATTGGAGGTAGATTTCATGACAACAGGCCTTTTCAGCAGGCCTGTTCAGGAGGTTAAAAACATGTGATAACACAGCTAAAAATAAAAATCTAAATAGCCAAATTAATCTGAAAGCTATCTTTTCCAGGTACCCAGCAAGACAATCTTCATTTTTATCTCATTTCATATTTTTTGACATGCATTTACTTAACCTTAAGTCTAATTTTAGACTCAAAAGGCCATGCTAGCACGTTTAAGAAAAGGGATATTTCACTATCAGGCCACAGTGCTGTAAAGCAGCCCAGGAGATTTGGGGTTTATGAAGTGCAGACAAGTGAACTGGTACACTGCGAGATAATTAATCTGAGATAATGAATGAGGCTGTGAAGATGCATGCAATCATTAATTCTAATCATGACACGTTTATTTGTCTCCCCTCTCTCCTCCAGTTAAGAGACACAATGTCATCACAACAATGCGCGAGGGGCACAGCTCGTGGAAGGAGAGGACTCTGGGATAAAGACTGAATCGGGCAGTTGATTAGATGGGGAGGGAAAGGAAAGGTGTTCAAAATGTAAGAGAGAAACAGCGTCAGGTGGCGGGGCTGTGAGGCTCTACAGCCGGACAGGCAGCCGGGGGACGAACCGTGACTCCGGTAACAGAGAGAGAAATATCACCCTCGACTGGAGCTTTGATCAACCGAGTGAACCGGGGAGGAGGAAGAGGAGATGGGGGGTTGGACGTCCACGAAGGGAGGGGTACCGGTCCAGTGCTCTGCTCTGCTTTTGCAGGACCCCCCCCCCTTTTTTTTTTTCTTTTCAAATCTTTTTTTTTTTACAAGGGAATATTGCAAACAGGCGATGACATTCATAATTCACAATAAGCCACATTGATCATTCTGAATGTGTTTATTTGAGGAATAAACAGCCCGTTTCTGTGAAGCTGCCCAGTTCATATTATTTAGATAATTTTTCATTTCTATTCCAGAGTAGAAAACCTCAGGAGATGGAATAGGAAAAAAAGAATAATTCAGTGTAGAGCTGAAAAATGTGCTAATTTTCGAGATAAAGATGAAAAGCAATCATAAAAAAGATAAATTATTTTTGTGAAATTATATTTGATCTTATTGTAAGTACACTAGAGTCCATGCAGACTGCACGCGTAATTCGATGCAAATAACAAGAAAAAAATACATTCTTTGAAATGACAAACACTTAAATATAGTCACCTTTTAAAAAACTACTTATTTAGCCAAGCACAAAACCCTGCATCACATAACAATACAACGTTTTAATTCTATTTTTTTAACTAAATACTCACAGATGCAGAAATGTGTTTCAGCAATGCATAACTGTGCTTTGTTCTAATATTATTTACAAACTCTACAGTGCCAAACGCGTAAAAAGCTCAAAAGTTGACCATAATATTCAGTGTGATTTAGAGTACGAGCTGCTAGAGGACGTGGCGGGGAGGAGGTGTTTTCCGCCCCAGCTCTGCCCAGTCTGTCAATCATTCCTCACCGCATTATCACGCACTCCCAGGACCGAAATCCGACCCTCCCTCCATTCCTCCTCTATCCACCCATCCGTCCCGGCACGCGGTGCTCGCGCAGCAGAAAAAGGCCTCATAAAGCACACATGACATATTTAGTGAAATTCAGAGTCTGTGATGTTATAACCCACAAACGCAAAGCACGCACAGTCCCACAATCGACTGGCTGGGGTTGTGCTGAGTCCCCCCCCCCCCCACCCCCTCCTGTAGATCAGCAGCCAAACATATGCCGATGTGAACTCGACGTGGATTATTGAGCCAACAGCAACTCTACGCAAACATTTTCCAGACTTTCCAACTCCGGTCCCGGCCTGTGCTGAGAGAAATCCAATGGGATTTATAGATCATCTCCCTACAGCTGTCCCTTCTCAGTCAGTCAACCCCCCACTGAATCCACACACACACGCACACGCGCACACGCACACACACACACACACACGCACATACACACACACACTGTCTCTCTCTCTCTCACACACACACACACACACACACACACACACACACACACACACACGCGCGCGCCGGTTTTCAGAGGTTGTCCTCCTAAACCATCCACAGCTATGACCACCTCTGTCTTCTTCACTGTCAGTGTGTTTTCTCAAGGAGATCATATGATTCAGTGAATTTGGGGGCTTTAGGGTGTGCAACCTGCATGAGACTCTGAGGTCATCCAGAAACAAGGCCACCAACACCACCAGAGACCCGTTCAGTCCTCTAGGGGGGCGAATTCAGCCTGGCGAAAGAAAGAGCAGAGGCGAAGTTGCTATTTTCACAACTAATATTTCTTTAAATTCTATTCATTGCTGTGTTATGTCAGAAAAAAAAAACACCAGAAGGCAACATAATCTCCACGCATTCCCAGTAAGCTTAATTTCAGTTATATCACAATCACAAAATAAAGCTAAAAGTGGACTCACGCACTCAAATATATGGATATATGATTTTATTATTTCCGTTTTAAATTAAACTTGACAGGGAATAACCCTCAATTGGTTTCGTTCAATATATGTTCTACTAATGTGCAAGTGTAAAATAAAATCTCCCTACTCTTATACATTTATTTATTACAAATAATATAAGTATGATGTTCTTCTGTGCTTAAACAGTCTTCAGTGACTGTTCTTTGAAGCTTCTCAGGATGCTTCAATTCTCCATTACATTCATACATATACAGAAAGGTTTTTAGATTTCCTCTTACAACCTGTAAAACCAGTCAAATAAATCACATAAAAATGCGATCATATTTCTGACAGATTAGGTTGAAAATTTAGCTGCCTGATCCAGGTGAGCACTCCACCTTCCCTGTGAATGAAAACACACACGCACAAAAAATCAGCCCCCCTAATGCTCCAAACAGAATCCCAGTGAAATGAGCCCCCACGCTGGCTCTGGGAAGCAGCCTGTAAAGCAGTTTCCCCAGTTCAGATTAATGGTACTGCGCGCTTATTCTGCAGTCGGGGTGAAAGGGCTAGGATCACTAATGATTATAATATAATGTGTGGCGATAACCACTCCCTTTGAGATATTATCGCCCGCTGGCCAATGCTCAGGGGACGGGCTGCGTGGCTGCAGAGCGGCAGATAGCTGCTGCCGCTGCCGCTGCCGCTGCAGACACCGCAGCGTGGAGAGAGGGAGAGCTGGCCGCTGCTGATACCTGCGTTAATATATACAGTGGAGCGGCCCTCCTGCTTCACCATACATCTTCTGCTGCTTATTATTCTTTTAACGAGGAGATGAGCAGGGGTCCTAATGGTTTAATATGAGTGCACTTTTAGTCTGGAACACCCTTCTTCTAATTTTAACTTTTAATAGGAAATAAAACCTTTTAGATTTTTTGACAAAGGAAACAGTTTTTAGATATTTAATTAGTTTCAAAAGGAACATTGAGTGTTTTAAAAACAGGATTTCAGTCATAAGAGGCCCTGTGGAAAGAATATTGCTAGAAGATCCTTAACCCAAAACAAACGGTTTTTATGGATCTTTGCTCAGTGTAAAGTGTACATCCGAATTAAAAACTCATATAGAAACAATCAAAACCAGGTTCAACCAATGTTTGATTCCGAAAATACAATTTAAAGCTGCTTTATTACGAAATGCTGCTTTTTCCTGAACATATCCTGACGACCAAACCATTCATGCATAGTGCAGGGGGAGGCCCAAATGATTTCTGCTTTTTTATGGACAACTCAGTTCAAATTCTGTTAGTAGAAATAAAGTTAGATGTAGCATTTCGTTTTCAACTTGGGAAAAATACAGGATTGAAACTGAAGGTGATGCCATGTAAAAGATACTCTTTAAAAACAATGTGTGCAGCAATATTTACGCACATAAGAGGGATAGGCTAGAACACAATAAAACTAGCTATCGTTTAAAATCTGGATACTATAGCTCAAAATTACTCAAGAAATCTACAAAACAAAGGCACAGCCGCTGATCTGTATTCAAGTCATCCTTGTAAAAAAAAAAAGGATTCAAAGATCTACACAATATAACCTGGAAATGTTTTCAAGCATTGTTTTTTTTTTTTAATGAAATCAAACAAATATCAACGAGAAACTGAGGATTCTTTAATGTGTATGCCGCAACTTTTGCAAAGCCGATTAGACTGGAAATCCTTGCATAATTATCGACATTCACTGATCAATAACAAACAGCGCAGTCTTCAACGACATCGGTGAGGGAAAAAAAGCTGTATGAGAAGGAAAGGGAAGGGAGGAGGAGGAAGAGGAAGAAGTGAAGTGAGTGATGCTGCTGTGCTGGACGCACCGCGGCCGATCCCGCTTCCATCCATCTTCATTGGAGCTTTTGTGTGCGCAAAAAGCAAAGGCGCGCATAAGGTAAAGCCCGCATGAAAGCCGCGGCTTTATTTTTATATCCAATAGATCAGCAGGCAGACAAAGCTTTATTTTCGCCAGGAGAGAGATATTTTACCTCCGCCTTACGGTTTTATGTTGGAGAGGTGTCAGCCGGGGGAAATGGATGGCTAATGCATAGGCAAAGCGCGGCTCGCCTCGGCATGCTGCACGTCAGAGGGGGGCTGCAGGGAAGAGCAGCGGGGATTTAGGGCCCCTGGGGGTCCAACACGGGGAACTGAATACAGGGGAGGGGGTACAAGCATCCGGGCATCACTGTAGTGCAGCTCATAACACAATAAGCAGACAGTCACAGACACACACACAGACACTCAGTCCTACCAATGCAGGGAGGAGTCTACCAATGCTGGCCGTTTGTTGATAATCCAGGGCCGGTCCCAATGTTTATGAGGGCGAAAGCAAAGCCCCCCCAGTTATTATAACTCATGCTGTAAAATGTTTGGCATTGGGAATGTGATGAAAGTTAAGTTAACTACTATGACCAAGAATTTCAATAAAAATCCAAACCCCATCCACTCAGCCATCCCCTTATTGATTGTGATTATAATTTTTTAAGACATGAGATGTGCAGAATGGAAATAAAATAAAAATAGCAACCCCTCCCCTAGCTCAAGAAAGAAAACAAAACAAACAAAAACAAACAAATTAATCCAATACGTTTTCAGATCAAAATAAATCCTGCAGATTAGTGAAAAAATTGTTATCATGAATCTTTAATCACCAATGAGTTGCATGGTCATCATGGATTGAAATCTTGGAGAAAAATAAAATCTGGTACATTGACTCACCTCGTCAATCGAATACAAACACACAGTCAGATACACATCAGTGTTTGGTCAATACATGTTTGTTTGAGTTGGCTGTTTTACGTTGTTGTTTTTGTTTTTTTAAACCAGGGCTGATCCCAATCTTTCCGGGCCCCAATCAGAGCCCTTCTCCATCCAAACCCACCCACCCACTTCGTCAAAAAGCCCCTTCATGTTATTTTATTAAATGCAGAAAGATTAAACTAGTGCCACTGTGGATGCTATTGCAGTTTCAACTGTTAGCACCATGAATGATTTTCATACACTCAATCCTTTACATTTTCAAGAAGTCAAAATGTCAGTCTTTTATTTAACTGGAGACCGTTGTGTTTTTGCTCTCTACAAAGATACAAGACTCCATGGACAAAAACAGTCATTTAGGCTCCCAGAACATTAAAGAGGCCCGTTTCCCTCTTCCTTGATTTGTGTTTAAATTGGTAAGAATCCAACTAAATATTTGTGTAACACATATCACAGAAGAAAACACTAACCAAAGTCACAGTTTGAATTAGACCCTAAAGTATGACGAAAGATGGTCCAAGTTTTCAAGTACCTGAGTTCTGCTTTAAGCAGCCAAGTAGTGTGATGTGTCAAACAAATGTATCCTACAATACAACAAGAAAATCCTCAAAGATTTTCCTTTATCAAATTGAAGATTTAAATGTGTCCAACATGTTCAATAGGTGTAGTTGGCAATATATTCGGTATCCGCTGATGGTCTACATGCTGTTTTTAGAGGCTTTCAGCACCAACACGAACACATTTACATTTATTTATTAATGCAAAATAATCAAATCTAAACTGTAAGCAGCGTCATAAAAACAAATCTGCTGGAATCAGCTCTGAAATCTTCACATTACCTGAATCTACCCCAGGCCCCTCTTGGACGTCCCTGCACAGAACTATTAGCCAGTTGTTAAAATCTTATGCACTGCTCGCCGCCTAACATGAATGCAGATTTCTCTCAACATGCTGCAAAGAGTTAACGAGATTTACAATACCGCTCAAAACACAGAGCTTCCCTGTCATATTTCCCCCTCATGCTAAATAGAAATCTTAAGAAGTAATTGGAATTTACTGCATACCTGAATAACTGCATATAAATAAGCACACATTTCATCGGGGGGTTCACTGACACTGTTTGGTCGCATAAAAACGGCTGCATACATTATAATACACAGCAAATAATCTTATTTTGCTGCAGCCTTTGCTACATGCTTGGGATTCCTTCCAAATTACAGAGGATTCAAACAAGCGTTTTCAATTTATTAAACCTATATGGGCAACATTTCATTTTAATGGGACAATTTATTTCTGGGAAGGGATTATCAGGGGTTGGTTGAAACCATAGCAGTGTGTAAATCTGACAGTGTTCATCTCATTTAAAAGGCACGCAGATCTCCTTTACAAAGCCTGTTTCAGTGGACGCCGGGTGCAGGAGGAGGAGGGTTCAGGTGGCAGCGTGAGGCCTCGACCCTCTTCGCTCTTCCTCCAGCTGAAAGACAAAACTAGCTCATTGACTTTGACCATGTCTCCCAGACAAATTCCTCAATTCTCAACACCTTTATGAGCCTGCATGTGCTTACCGAATTTGGTGGAGGAGGACACAAATCCTCCGGATGGGATTGGCAGTCATGCCCTCGGTCTCTCGGCCCGACACGCTCGGGATGTAAAGTGGCCGTCTAACGCTGCGACCCCCGGTCGAGAGGGCTCAGCGGATTTGGAGATAATGACATTGCCGCCTCTATTAAGATTCGCATTAACCATTTCACCACACGACCCCATTTCCCTTTGTCCTAACCCTCATGTCAAAAGCCTTGCAGTCTTACCCTGCCGGTGGTAATATTCAAAGCTGGCCAAACAACCTGCATGAGCACAACCTCTATTCCTGCAAAGGACAAAAGGGAGGCTGTCTATATGCAAAGAGTACAGTGGATATTTATCCCACTTGTTGAAAGCAAACCCCCTTAACATTCATGGAACAAACTGTTTGACTGCAAATAGATCCCCTCTGCCGGTATCTGACATTTTCCATATTGGAACTCACTCTCAGAAATATGTCTTTTCTTTTTCTCTGACTGACACAAACACAAAGTTGCCTCTTATATTCCCTCTCTGTCACACACGTACACACACACACACACACACACCAACCCCTGGCTGCCTCCCCTGCTGGCTCCCTGAGCTGAGACTGTGGGAGGGAGGCCAAATTGTTTGTCTCTCCCAGTGTCAAGGCTCTGCAGCGGGGATGAGGCCATGAGAACAACTGCTCTGTGTCTGGCTTCTGGCTGATGGCTCCATCAGGTTGGAGCAACAGGGAGTCTGACGCTGGGTGGGGTTCAGTGTATGCGTGTGTAAGGGTTTGTATGTGCATTTGAGTAGATGTTGGGTTATCTTTCCAGGAGTCTACAGTGATGCTGTGAACAAACAAAGGGGGGCAGTTAAGGGAGAGTTTGTTCTTTTGAAAGCAAAGTGAAAGTTGTTGACACCAAAGATGCAACAAAATTTAAAGAAACGATATGGCAAGCTTCTCCCCACCACAAAAAAGATAAGAAACATTCTCAGAGACCCCCTCCCTGAAAAATAAAATAAAAACAAACCAGCATTCAGACCCCTTCATCTCTCTTTTGCCCTGGCAGTGCCCATTTACACAAAACCAACGCCGATCAGCATTTTCAGCACTCCGCACCAAAAGCACAAAAATGCCCTCAGCGACATCATTTTTTTCCCCACTGTGCTCTCAGTTGAAAAAAAGTTCAACTACTGGTACACCGCTACACTCGTCAATGTCCCTTCTCCCTCAATGACCAATCGGTGCTGATTCATCTTTCCAAGGGTACAACAGTGCTGCGGCTAATGCCAGGACACGATTCCTTTACATTATTTTCATGTTTTCTTGAATAGAAAGCAAATAGAAGCAAATAGATCTGACTAAAACAGACCTAACTGTCATTGGCCATGGAAACTGAAGTCTTGACAGCTGCCAGCGCAAGAAAAACTGCATTGACTTGTGAAATAATCCCTTTTGTGCCATTTGGGTTGGAGAAGCTACCAGTTTTTTACATTTTAATCAACAGTTAAAGGGAATTTTTGATGGCAAATGTAGTCAGTTGAAGCAAACGACTCCCCCAGTAACTATATTTACCAAAAGGTATCATGGAGGCATTGCAGCACAAGCAAAGACGGCGATGAGAAATCCCATCTGAAATAGCCTATAGTCCTTTTGGGACACCACCTGTTTTCAATATCGAAAAAATAGACAACCCCGTAGATCAAACTTTTCCTTGATATACATTCGAGACTTTCAGTAGACTAAACATGTAATAAAGGTAATCCTTCAACATCTGCAAATGATGCTTCCTGAAGGTAGGACGTAGTTAGCCTCTCTTTGCACAAAGATTGGAGTCATGGGGGGAAAGATATTCTGTCTCTATCCAATGTTAAAGTATGTGCAATTTACTTTGTGCTTTAAGGTGCATTAATCAGTATTTCTCAGGACACAACAATGTCTCTTGAGCATCTACTGCTAAGGTGTATATAGCTAAACCAAGACAGTAAAAGATGGTTCCAGTCCTTCAACCTCATTGTGAAAACAACAACAAAAGGGAAATGTTCTGTATTGAAATGCAAAGAAAGCTTCCATCAGCCTGGTGCAACACAGCCCAGAGAGTTGATTTTGACAAAAGTCCCACCTTTGACAAGACGAATACCAAATCATAGTTTAGGATTTTGGGGCCGACACTGGACACAAACTCTGCCCACCATTAGCTCCGCCCTTTTGGGGAATTAAGTCCCTGTAATACAACGCTGAAAGCTACACCTTTTCAGCAATATGTGTAAAGACCTTATGCATGTAAGATTTTCACAACACATTTTATGGAGACATGGTTGTCTATACAAAATAAACTTAAATAAACTAAAAAATCTCGGCTTGTCCAATAAATTCTCGAGGTATGATGAGCAATGGGATCCTCCAACCAGGACATAAATACTGTACACACAGGAGCACAGAGACGAAGAGCGGCTCACTCTTCTATTTACAGGTATTTCATCTACATAGATTTTCTACGTTATTGCTACACATTGCAGTTATTAGAGAGTATTTTTTTCCATCCCTGCTCATGAATTTCACTAAAGTGTCTCTCCATAGTCACCTGATTGTCTTGCGATAATGTGGATGAGGTAGTTATGCTGCCACATGAAGGACCCTCCTCCTCTCCTTCCTTGCTATGCCTGCAGATGAGTTGAAAGGGTGAGGAGGTCGCAACCTTCCTGGGGGATGTTTTACGATGACACGGCCGGGAAAGTCTGATTTGTCTCCACTGGAGCGTGCTGCCGGCGTCTTCACACCCAGCCTGAGAAAGAGAGAGAGAGGGAGCGAGAGAGAGGAAGGGAGAGATAAATAGAGAGAGGGCAGACAGAAAGAGAGAGTGTGTGCACAGACGAAGAGTGCTGGTGAAGGTTGGGTGGGGAAGGGGGGTTTGACGGAGGTTGGACGACATGGGTTGGAGTAGGAGGGGGAGGAGGAGGGTGAGCTGTAAATTAGCCGGCTTGGCAGACTGATGGTCAGCAGCGGTTTCAGAGGACAGCACCCACCTTGACCCCCGCTTAGGACGTCCAGCTGAGCCCCAAGTGAGGAGGAGGAGGAGAAGGAGGAAGACTGCACGCTTATAGATGTGACTATGTAGCCTCACTTGTGCCTCTGTGTAGAAAGCACAAAGATTTTAGATTTTTTTTTTTTACAATAGCTCATAATGATGCAGACATACAGTGTTTAACTCATTAATACATATTTTTCCTGGGGGTACATTTAAGGTTGTAAGTATCTTCTGACTCCCCTCAGTCTGACAGTGTTATTGTAACAACATGTGAAACGCATACACGCTAAAGCACACAACACTAAAACACATCAACTGGCATGGCAATGTTTAGATTTCCAACCCTGTAAATCCAGGTGTGAACCAACTGTTCTGGTTAAAGGAACCAAATTAATCAGAACACCTCAGAAACCCTGAACAGCACTTTGCTTTGAACAAACACAATAAACACAATAATACAATCCAAAGGAGACACACGAAAAGGGAGCCAAATCCAAACAAAAGCCTTAAATACTTCCTGGTCAAACCACATAGCTCCAACGAGAGTACTATGGCATCAGACTATTAAAGCTATTGACAAAATAAGTTACATTAGTCTTTTACTGAGACATTAACATGTACAATAAACCTGTAAGAAAGTGTTCAAGTTACAGCTTATTTTACTACGGCTGGTTTGAAACATTATACAAAAATAAAAAAACATTGTACCGTCCCCCATCCCAAAGTGCTAAATGGTACAGTCCACATTGCCAGGTGGGGCAAGGGGTGTTCAGGTGCGCTTGTTAATTTAAGCACCATACTCAAAGAGGAGGTGGACCTTCCAAAGAGCAATGAAAGGAATAAAACCAATGCTTGAATGATAAAAATACTAAATGAATACTTTTTTATACATAAAACTAAATATTTATCCACCTTAAAACTTAAGAAACAATAATGAAGGCTTAAGGGCCCAATCACACTAAGAGGCGTTGCTACAAAAAGCAGTGTTTTCCTAAAGAACAGTGTCCTTGCTGGGTGCTCTTCATGACTTATTCTAGCTTTTTTTCGGCTTGACTTTTCAGCTCAAGATGCTAGTCAACATCACTTTGGGCCGGAGCAGCCAATCAAATCAAGTGGGAGGATTTGTCACCACTTTCTATGTCTTTTTTTCTCTCCTGTCTCATCTGGGAGCAAAGTAACAGCAAGATCTTTGTATTTGCTCAGGCGCAGGCGCTCCCAGCTGTTTTTTACCCAGGTGTTTTTTGAGTGACCACGCCCTGAATCTTGTAAAAAAAACAAACATCTGACTAGGTGGTCAGTTTAATAGTTAAATTAAGATGTACAGGCCCGAGATTTGGGGGAAAAACAAAAACAAGATAAAAAAACCCCCATTAAAACAAATTAATCTCACGGTTGCCGGCTTCATCGATCGACTGTTTCTTTGTTGCTTGCTTACAATAACGGAGCTCATTTAGAGAGAAAATGATCAGAGTCACTCTGGGGTGCTTCAGCTGAGGAGGAGAGAGTTAAACAAGCTGCAGGGGAGCAACAGAAACAGGACGGTGGCTTCATTTGCATGGAGTTTTTTTTTTCGGGAATGCACACCCCTAGGTGGGAGAGTTAGCACCCTGTAACACCCATCCCCAACACACTCTAATAAATCATGTAATCCCTGATACTGGAAGGCAAACATGGGAGCAGATCTAATCAGGACTCTGCAGAATCCTTTTATCTGGGCCCATCTCTGCCTGGTCACACACAGTACACAGTCCCACGCTCCTCTATGACAAACACCAAATGCTTGATAGCCACTGATGGATAGAGACTCCGGGCTGGGTAAGGGTTAGGGAAGAGTTCCCAGCCCAACGTTGATGCTTAAAGAATCATATTCTTCTTTAGATCTGACTATTTAAAAGTGGCCAACATCCAAGGTTGAAACTGTCCACTGTTATCCAAACTAAAGAGCATTTTAGGTTTGTAATCCTGGGCATATACGCTTTAATACAGGTGAAACGCGTGATTGAATTTATGCCAGATGAAGCACCAGTTCAAGTATAACACCAAAAATAGAACTTGA